CGGTTAATCCCGCTGTTGAACAAGCTATTATTGCAAAAATTGGCGAAAACAACAAACTATCATTAAGAATTTCATCTTTCGACCAAAAACAAGCAAGGGGGGGAATACCACAAAGAGAGAGTGTTCCTATTAAAAAGGCCATTTTTGTAATCGGGACATGTTTTGTCAAACCACCCATAAGAATCATATTCTGACTTTTATCGGGAGAATATCCAACTATAGCTTCCATTGAATGAATAATGGATCCAGATCCTAAAAACAACAAAGCTTTCGAATAAGCATGAGTAATCAAATGAAATAAAGCAGATCGATAAGACCCCATACCTAGAGCTAATATCATATAACCCAGTTGAGACATTGTAGAATAGGCTAAACCTCGCTTAATGTCTTTTTGAGCAAGAGCTAAAGTGGCTCCTAAGAGTACTGTTATTATACCTATCAAAGATATTATATACATTATAGAAGGGATAACTATAAAAAGAGGAAGAAGACGAGCTACAAGAAAAATCCCCGCCGCTACCATAGTAGCAGCATGTATAAGAGCCGAAATGGGAGTAGGGCCCTCCATGGCATCAGGTAACCATACATGAAGAGGAAATTGTGCGGATTTAGCAATAGGACCTACAAATAATAGAAATGCACACAAAGTAAGGAATAAGAGATTTACTCTATTATTTAAAATTAAATTATTGAATATTTCGAACAAATCCTGAAATTCAAAACTGCCTGTTATCCAATAAAGACCTAAAATTCCTAATAATAAACCAAAATCCCCTACACGATTAGTTACAAAAGCTTTTTGACAAGCATTCGCTGCAATAGGTCGTGTGAACCAAAAACCTATTAATAAATATGAACACATTCCAACTAATTCCCAAAAAAAATAAACTTGGATCAAATTAGAACTAGTAACTAATCCTAACATTGAAGTATTAAAAAAACCCATATAAGCAAAAAATCTCAGATATCCTTGATCATGCGACATATAATTGTCACTATAAATCAGAACCAAAATCCCAACAGTTGTAATTAATATTGACATAATAGAAGTAAGTGGATCGATAAAGTAACCGAACTCAAAAGAAAATTCATTATTTATGGTCCAAGACCATACATTTTGATGAATGCAACTTAGAAAAATTTGTTGAATAGATAGATAGAGTGAAAAGATCATAACTATACTTAACAAAAAAATACTAAGAAAAGTCCACATGCGTCGAAGGTTTTTTGTTGCTGTCGGAAAAAGGAGAAGTCCAACTCCTAGTAAAATAGGTACTGGAAGTGGAATGAAAGGGATGATCCATGAATATTGATATGTATGTTCCATAAAATAAAAAATCCTTTTTATTTTATTCTTAATTTTATTATTTCTTATTCACTGGTTTGTATATATATATATATTTTTTTTTTTTCAAAGGGGACAATAAAAAAGCACGTGATTTCAAACCTAAATACAAATGTTTTCGAATTAGTATAATCCTTCATAAATCTTTGAAAAGAAATATATATTCAAATAAAAAAATTAGAAATGATTAAAAAATCTTACTAAGTTACTGTCAAAAAAATTTATTTGTCTTTTTTTATTACTACTAAATAAAAATTTATTGTGATTTTATGCAGATACAGAAAAAGTGAATTATAATTCCGTATTACAATAATTTATATACATATATTAAGAATAGAACAAAGATTTACACGACAAAAAAATACTTAATATTACTTAATATTAATTATATAAAAAAAGCTTTCCCTAAAACAAAGTTATTTGAGTTTGATTATTTAGGATTGTTAAGGAATGGATTTTCATCATGGAATTTAGTGATTGTCTTCCAGTACACTAAGTGAGCTTTTTTTATTTATATTTGTAAGAAAGATTACTCTAATCGATATGTTTTTTTTACATATTATGTGAAGAAATCTTATAAGTTTTTTGATAATAGAATCTAATAGAATCTATCAGTATAGATTACTTAAATGAGTACTCTCGTACGGATTTCAAACGTTAAAAAAAAAGTAAAAAAAACAGTTGGGTTTGAAACTTTTGAATGTATTTTTTGTTTTGAAAATAATATATATATAATAAAATTTAAAAGAAAAAATAACTCGATATGGAGTACGAAAGAATAGAATAATAAATGTCTTTGACATCCAATTATACCACTGAAAATTTTTTTTTCATTTTTGAATGGCAGTTCCAAAAAAACGTACTTCTATCTCGAAAAAGCGTATTCGTAAAAAAATTTGGAAAAGGAAGGGATATTGGACATCGTTGAAAGCTTTTTCGTTAGGGAAATCACTTTCTACAGGTAATTCAAAAAGTTTTTTTGTACAGCAAAATAAATAAAAAACACTATAATAATTAGAATTAGCCTAACTTAAAAACCAATTTGTTAAAATACATATAAAACAAAATAGGAACCAAAAGAAGAAAAAAAGATAATATATAGATAAAAAAGAAAGGTTCACATTTAAAACAAAATAGGAACCAAAAGAAGAAAAAAAGATAATATATAGATAAAAAAGAAAGGTTCACATTTTTTTAGTTATAAAAAGGGGATTCGTTTTTTCCCCATCACTACCATCACTACCTTCACTACTTTGAGACAATAATAAATAAAGATCTTTTATTTCCTCTTAATGAGGAAATAAAAGATCTTGAAATTAATTACTTTAAGTGATCAAAAAATCTTATGTTTGTACTGTTTGTACAATATAAAAAGATACATAAAAAAAAATATTTTGATAATTTTTTTTATTTCTCTTGAGCAATTAGGAAAATCTAATTTTATTTAAAATTGCTAAGGGTTTTGAAGAAGTTTTTATTTTTCGAAATTTTTTTCATCATATAAAAGAAAAAAAAATGATAAAGAGCATTTAGAGTTTTGTCTTTGGGTTGAAGTTCCAACTACTTGAATTTAGTTACATTTTTCATTGTATTCTAGAAAAAATATAAAGAACAAAAAGTGAATTTAAATAATTTTAAATAACTCAGAAAAAAAACAAAAAGATCTTAATTTAATTAAAACACCAATACCTACTTCAAAAAGTTTTAATTTATTTAATCAATTGGAAATTTGAATCAATTGCCTTCTTTATTTAAATTTTAATCTCGACGATTGAATCAAAACCTGTTAATATTGTTTTGAACAAGTTGCCGCTATGGTGAAATTGGTAGACACGCTGCTCTTAGGAAGCAGTGCTAGAGCATCTCGGTTCGAGTCCGAGTAGCGGCATAAGATCTTCTAAAAGAGATATTATAAGTTTTATAATCAAAATAATACCCGACTCCTTTTTCTAAAATCGGGTAAAACCTAGTATTAATTTATTAATTTTTAACAAATTTTTTATGATTTTTTCAATTTTAGAGCATATATTAACTCATATATCTTTTTCGGTCGTTTCAATTGTACTGACAATTTATTTTGTAACTTTATTAGTTAATTTAGATGAAATCATAGGATTTTTTGATTCATCAGATAAAGGAATCATAATTACGTTTTTTGGTATAACAGGATTATTATTCACTCGTTGGATTTATTCAGGACATTTTCCATTAAGTAATTTATATGAATCATTAATTTTTCTTTCGTGGGCTTTTTCAATTATTCATATGGTTTCCTATTTTAATAAAAAACAAGAAAATAACTTAAACGCAATAACTGCGCCAAGTGTTATTTTTATTCAGGGTTTTGCTACTTCAGGTCTTTTAAACAAAATGCCTCAGTCTGCAATATTAGTACCAGCTCTCCAGTCCCAGTGGTTAATGATGCACGTAAGTATGATGATATTAGGCTATGGCGCTCTGTTATGCGGATCATTATTATCAATAGCTCTTCTAGTGATTACATTTCGCAAAGTTGGACCTACTTTTTGGAAAAAGAAAAAAAAAAAAAATTTTTTATTAAATGAATTATTTTCTTTTGATGTACTTTACTACATAAATGAAAGAAATTCTATTTTACTACAACAAAACATTAATTTTAGTTTTTCTAGAAATTATTATAGGTATCAACTGATTCAACAATTAGATTTTTGGAGTTTTCGTATTATTAGTCTTGGATTTATCTTTTTAACCGTCGGCATTCTTTCAGGAGCTGTCTGGGCTAATGAGACATGGGGTTCATATTGGAACTGGGACCCAAAAGAAACTTGGGCATTTATTACTTGGACTATATTCGCAATTTATTTACATATTAAAACAAATAGGAATGTTAGGGGTATAAATTCTGCAATTGTGGCTTCGATCGGTTTTCTTTTAATTTGGATATGCTATTTTGGCGTCAATCTTTTAGGAATAGGTTTACATAGTTATGGTTCATTTACATCGAATTAAAGTAACAAACAAAAAGGAATCCAAATCTAAATAAAAAAAAATAGCATCTATATCTAACTTCATATAAATTAAGAAATCTTAGTAGGAAATAATCAAGAACCTTTTGAATCAAGTAGTACAATGATTCAAAAGTTTCTCACAATACAAAGACCAAAGACTTCTTATTATAATTCACTTTAATGCTTTTTTTTAGTTCCTGAAAACTATCCATAAAAATAATTAGATAAAATGGATTCGACCTTGTCACTTGCTAATGAGAGCACAAAATCAGGATAAATCCCAATACCAATTATGGGTAGAAGAATAGAGATTGAAAGAAATAACTCTCGGGGTCCAGAATCAAAAAAAGAAAAGTTTTTGACATTAATTAACTTGTATCCATAGAACATTTGGCGTGACATAGATAATAAATATATAGGAGTTAATATCATTCCAATTGCCATTACAAAAATAATGAAAATTTTGGAAATTAAGAAATATTTTTGGCTGGTAATTATTCCAAAAAAAACAATTAATTCTGCAATAAAACCACTCATGCCCGGCAATGCAAGGGAAGCCATCGATAAAATAGTGAACATTGTAAATATTTTTGGAATGGAGATAGCCATTCCACCCATTTCATCAAGATAAACAAGCCTAATTCTATCATAACTCGTTCCTGCCAAGAAAAAAAGTGCAGCGCCAATAAATCCATGAGAAATTATTTGTAAAATAGCTCCATTAAGTCCAGGATCCGATAGAACTAATACCTATAATTATAAAACCCATATGAGATACAGAAGAATAGGCTATTCTCTTTTTTAAATTACGTTGACCGGGAGATGTTGAAGCTGCATAAATTATTTGGATTGTACCGACTACCATCAACCAAGGAGAAAACATAGAATGAGCGTGGGGTAATAATTCCATATTGATTCGAACCAACCCATATGCTCCCATTTTTAATAAGATTCCAGCGAGAAGCATACAGGTACTGTAATGTGCCTCACCGTGGGTGTCAGGTAACCAAGTATGTAAAGGTATAATCGGTGATTTGACGGCAAAAGCAATAAGAAATCCAATATAAAAAAGTATTTCGAGTGTAACAGGATAAGATTGATTAGCTAAGAGTTCTAAATTTAATGTTGGTTCGTTCGAACCATATAAACTTATACCTAAAACTCCTATTAATAAAAAAATAGAACTTCCTGCCGTGTACAAAATAAATTTTGTAGCCGAATACAGACGTTTCTTTCCACCCCACATGGATAAAAGTAGATAAACGGGAATTAATTCTAATTCCCACATGATGAAAAAAAGTAGAAGATCCCGAGAAGAAAATGATCCTATTTGACCGCTGTACATTGATAACATCAGGAAATGAAATAATCGGGAATCCCGAGTAACTGGAAAAGCCGCTAAAGTGGCTAAAGTAGTAATAAATCCCGTCAGTAAAATCGTTCCTATAGAAAGTCCATCTATTCCCATTCTCCAGTAAAAATCAAAAAAATTGATCCATTTATAATCTTCGGACAGTTGAATTAACGGATCGTCCATTTTAAAATTATAACAAAAAGCATAGGTCGTTAGAAGAAGTTCTAAGATACAAATGCATATAGTATACCATTTATTGACTTTATTTCCCCTATGCGGGAGAAATAACATTAATGAACCAGCAGATATTGGAAAAGCAACAATTATTGTTAACCAAGGAAAATCATTCGTGGTAAAGACAAGATACACCAGGTCCAAGGAACGCGTACTCAAAAAAAATATATAAATAAAAAAATATAATTTAACTTTTTTGAGTACGAGTACTTGTCAATAAAAAAAAATAAAATGTATTCCAAATTTATTCAAATGAGTTTTTCGGTAACGCATCAATAAGCTAGACCCATACTTCGAGTTGTTTCATGCCATAAATAAACTCGAACGCTCAAAAAATCCGTTGGACAGGCGGATTCACATCTTTTACAACCAACACAGTCCTCGGTTCTTGGAGCAGAAGCTATTTGCTTAGCTTTACATCCATCCCAAGGTATCATTTCTAATACGTCTGTAGGGCATGCTCGGACACATTGAGTACATCCTATACAGGTATCATAAATTTTTACTGAATGTGACATAGGATCGATAGTTTTTTTAATGTCATAAATTTTCAATCTAGTAAACTTCTAACTGAATGGTATATTAAAATACTAGATGAAGCAATGATTTCCTTTAATAGAATTTTTGTAATGAATTCTGGCTCAATTGATAAAAAATGGGGCTAAAATACTTTGATTTCTTAGATTTTTACAAATATAATCTCGTAGGTCATAACTTATCATATATGCAAATTTCAATCTATAATTTTTTTAGTTATGTTACTTATTTAATAAGGTCGATTGGTTTATGCGAGTTGATTTTCTATTACGATAAATTGACGAGACTATAGCTAATCCAATAGCTGCTTCAGCGGCTGCAATTGCTATAACAAAAATGCAGAAAATTTCCCCTTTTAGTTGGGAATTATCAAAAAAATCAGAAAATGTTACGAAATTCATATTAACTGCATTGAGTATAAGTTCAAGACACATAAGAGCCCTAACCATATTTCGACTCGTGATCAATCCATAAAGACCAATCAAAAATAAATAGGCACTCAAAACAAGTACATGTTCGAGTATCATTCAGCAACTCCTTATCAATTTTGATTCATTTCAATATGAAAAATAATTCACCGGATTCCATCAACTAGAATATAACAAAAAAGTACGAATAAAAACAATATTTAGGTAAAAAAATTTTTTAAATATATATCAAATATAAAAATTGATCCTTAAAATATGAAATAGTATTCAATCAAATTTAATTGAATGAACGGAAAAAATCATAACATACACAAAGTTTTCTTTGGTCTTTAATAATTTAGAACATTTTTTATTGACGAGCCACAGAAATTGCACCTATCAAAGCAACTAAAAGAATTATTGAAATGAGTTCAAATGGCAGAAAAAAATCTGTTGATAAATGAATTCCTATTTGTTGACTATTACTTATTAAATCTTGCTCTAGAATCTGGTTTAATTTTGTAGTCCAAATAACCCCGTACCATGACGTATCGAGAATAGTAGACATTAATAAAAAAAGAATAGTTGTACAAACCAACGAAGTAATCCCATTCCCAACGGTCCACAGATTGAAATCTGTGGAATATTCTGAATCATTCATGAACATCACAGCAAATATGATTAAAACATTTATGGCCCCCACATAAATAAGGAGTTGTGCAGCAGCTACAAAATGGGAATTTGATAGAATATACAATAAAGATATACAAACAAGAACAAATCCTAAGGAAAAGGCTGAAAATATTGGGTTGGGAAGGAATACCACTCCCAGACCTCCTACTAGAAGACCGGATCCCAGAAAAACTAAAAGAAAATCATGTATTGGTCCAGGCAAACCCATTATATTATTAAAATAAGAAAAAAATCGAAATCCTTTTCATGACCTTATTAATTTAACCAGGAAATTTTTTTTTAATATGTTTCTAATAGAGTGAAATTAGAATCTAATGGATATGAGTTGATGTAGATACAATTATTAGACAGTTTCTCTTTTTTTATTCTAAAGTGTATTTTCAACCTATCTATTTCAAGAAAGTAATTACGAACATATTATATTAAAAGAATGTGCCTTAATACTTAATATTATTATATAAATACAAGTTTTTAATTAAATTCTTTATATAATTCAACAATTTGGAATTCTTTTTTTAATCAAATTAAAGGGTTTACTCCATTTTTTGTTTGAGGTGAATTCCAAATTGTTCGAATAGTGTAATCGTCAATTACTGACATTGGTAAACGACCCAAAGCTATTTGATTATAATTCAATTCGTGACGATCATAAGTGGAAAATTCATATTCTTCAGTCATTGACAAACAATTTGTTGGACAATACTCAACACAATTACCACAAAATATACAAATTCCAAAATCAATACTGTAATTAAGCAATCGTTTTTTTCGAATATTAGTTTCCAATTTCCAATCAACAACAGGCAAATCTATAGGACATACTCGAACACATACTTCACAAGCAATGCATTTATCAAATTCAAAATGGATTCGACCACGGAAACGTTCCGATGTTATTAATTTTTCATAGGGATATTGAATAGTTACAGGTAAACGATTTGTGTGGGATAAGGTAATCATGAAACCTTGACCAATATACCTTGCAGCTCGTAGGGTTTGTTGACCATAATTCATGAACCCGGTTATCATAGGAAGCATATTGTAATTATCTCTGAATAATTTTATCTTTGTTTCTTTCTCTTGTTTAAAACAAATCAAATAATGAATATATTGGATTCATTTTCAATTTAGAGTGAAAAGAGTTGGAAAGAAGTTGTTAATAATAGATTACCAAGGGAAATAGGTAAAAGAAATTTCCATCCAAGATTTAATAGTTGATCCATTCTTAGCCTAGGTAAAGTCCATCTTGTTGCGATAGAAATGAACAAGAACAAATAAGTTTTAGCTAATGTAATAAAGATACCAATTGTTGTTCCAAAAATTTGATCCCTTTGAAATAGCTCCAGAATAGATATATACGGAATAGCAATATTCCAACCGCCTAAGTATAGAACTGTTACAAATAATGAGGAAATTAATAGATTTAGATAAGAAGCGACGTAAAATAAACCAAATTTGATACCTGAATATTCAATTTGATAACCTGCTATTAATTCTTCTTCCGCTTCTGGTAAATCAAACGGTAACCTCTCGCATTCTGCTAGAGAAGAAATTAGAAAAATGATAAAACCTATAGGTTGACGCCACAAATTCCATCCCCAAAAACCATATTTTGATTGTGCCTCAACTATATCAACTGTACTTAAACTGTTAGATAATCCTAGTCGGCGAGAACATTACTATTTTCACCGCTATTTCAGAACCGTACATGAGGTCTTCGCCTCATACGGCTCCTCGGGGGCCATAAATAAATCTAAGGACCAGATTATCATTTAGATGGATATGATGTGTTCTAAAATGGTTAAATATATCTGGGGTCCCGAATTATACCAATGGAATTCTGTCTGCTCAAATTCTAAGAATAAAAAACGCGCTTCGGAATTCATCTCACCCTTTACAAATATGAATTTCTATTTGTTGAGTAATAACTTAACCCTTTAATAAAATACTCCTTGTAAAAATAAAAAAAGGTATTTCAGCCCATCGTGGTTTTCGATTACGAAAAATAATTAGACATCCTATTTGTTTATTATTCATGACAGAAATTCTATTTTATTTTCGAAATATATGAAAAAAAAGATCCTTGTTTCGTTCCTATTCTTCTTTCTTTTTTAGAAAAAAGTTGGTAGACTTATAAAAAATAAAGGATTATTTCGTTTCTGATAGTCATTACATTTGTCGGTGGATAGGAGCATACTCTGAATCGGAATCTTGGGGAGTACTGTCTTATCATTTCTACAAATTTCAAGCCCCAATTAACCTTCTTTTTTTTTTTCTTATGTTAGGCCTAAATATCCTTTTCAATTTGGTTAATCTCTATTACAAATTCTTTGTGTAATTTGGTGTTTCTAACCATCCACTCACTTTTACCTAATTGCCGCTCACTTTGTAATACATGTATGTTAATCTATATAACTGATAGTGAAAACGTCATCCGGTTAATATATTTAACCCGCTTCAAGCCAGGATGACTAATCAACCAACCTTGGGGTAAAGTGATTCTTACACTTATGTTTATTTCCCTTTAACCTTTGTACATAGGAAATGAGACTCAATTTTTCTTTTTACTGCAAATTTCTGAGCATTTTTTTTCACTCATATATTACTATCAAATTTATTTTATTAAGATTAATTCGAAAGATAAATATATATTCCGTTTTTTAACTGATTCGTCTAGAAGAAACGGAATAGTAAAAATAAACGTTTATGTTTCAACGAATCGCACGTAGAGATATTGATAAAACACATAGAGTTAATGGTATTTCATAACTAATCGATTGGGCAGCAGCTCGCAGACCACCTAAAAAAGAATATTTATTATTTGATCCATATCCTGACATAAGAAGTCCAATAGGAGCAATACTTGAGATGGCAATCCATAAAAAAATACCGATATTGAGATCCGCTAAAACAAGGTGATTGCTAAAGGGAATTACTGAATAACTTAGTAAAATAGAGATAACTGCTATAGATGGTCCAATACTAAATAAAGGAGTATTTCCTCTAGATGGACGAAGATTTTCTTTGAAAAGTAGTTTTGTCCCGTCGGCTAGAGCTTGAAGAATTCCCAACGGGCCGGCGTATTCAGGTCCAATACGTTGTTGTATCCCTGCAGATATTTCTCTTTCTAACCACACAATTACTAGTACACCTGTTATGATTCCCAATACAAGAGAAAATATAGGGACAAATATCCATATGAGTTCATAGACCTCTTTTAAAGATTCCAATTTAACAAAAGAATTTATAGTTTGGACTGCTGTTGCATAAATTATCATTTTAACGATCAACTTCTCCCATAATTATATCTATGCTACCGAGTATCGTCATAATATCAGCCAATTTCATTCTTTTAACTAGTTCAGGAAGAATTTGCAAATTAATAAAACCCGGTGGTCGGATTTTCCATCTCCAAGGAAAACCGCTTTGATCTCCTATGAGAAAAATTCCCAACTCCCCTTTGGGAGCTTCAACTCTTACATAAAGTTCTTGTTTCGATAATTCAAAAGTAGGAGAAGGTTTTTTACTAATGAATCGATATTCAAAATCATTCCATTCTGGATTCCTTTTTCTATCAAAGCCCCTGCTTTCTAAATTCTCATAGGGACCCCCTGGAAGTCCTTCCAGAGCCTGTTGAATAATTTTTATGGATTCTGTCATTTCGCTAAGTCGTACTAAATAACGAGCTAATGAATCTCCTTGTTTTTGCCACTGAATTTCCCATTCAAATTCATCGTAAGACTCATAACGATCAACTTTACGAAGATCCCATGGTATTCCGGATGCGCGTAGCATTGGTCCGGATAAACCCCAATTTATTGCTTCTTCCCCACCAATAATCCCAATTCCTTCAACCCGTTCTAAAAAAATAGGATTTCGTGTAATGAGTTTTTGATATTCAACAACCTCTGTTAAAAAATAATCACAAAAATCCAAGCATTTATCTATCCAACCATAAGGTAAATCAGCCGCTATTCCTCCAATACGAAAAAAATTATGCATCATTCTCATACCGGTGGCAGCTTCGAATAGATCATATACAAATTCTCGTTCTCTGAAAATATAGAAAAAGGGAGTCTGTGCACCAATATCTGCCATAAAAGGGCCGAGCCATAACAGATGAGAAGCTATACGACTCAATTCCAGCATAATTACTCTGATATAGCTGGCCCTTTTAGGAACTTGAATATTTCCCAATTGTTCTGGTCCATTTACTGTTATTGCTTCTGTAAACATAGTAGCTAAATAATCCCATCGCGTTACATAAGGTAAATATTGTATAATTGCTCGGTTTTCTGCAATTTTTTCCATTCCTCTGTGTAAATAACCTAATATGGGTTCACAGTCAACAACATCCTCACCATCTAGAGTAACAATTAAGCGAAGAACACCATGCATGGATGGGTGGTGAGGTCCCATATTGACTATCATAAGATCTTTTCCTGTAACTGGTCTCTTCATAAGTTTTTCCTTGATTCGTTCTGGCATGAATTAGATTGCTGAATAAAGAAGTTTATCTAAAAATTCAAGATCTAAAAAATTCACTGATTCACAATTTTTTAATTTAACGAGTTTTTAATTCCCGAATATTCAACTGATTAATTAATTCTTTATAACGTACTCTATTTTTTTTTGACAAATAAGCCAGCAGTCGTTGACGTTTTCCCAGAATTTTTCGTAGACCCCGCTGAGATAAATAATCTTTTCTGTGCAATTCTAAATGTGAAGTAAGTCTTCGTATCTTATTAGTGAAACTAAATACTTGAAATTCAACAGATCCCCTGCTTTCTTCTTTTTGTTCTTCAAATGAAATAAATGTATTTTTTATCATAAAAAGAAATCCTTCCCCTTTTAATATGAATTGAAAGATATTAATTTTACTGATCAGTAATAATAATGGTAGTTTTTTTGTACAAGGATCTGAATTTAATTATCAACTTCTTAATTCTTCATTTTATAAAAAAAATCTAAATTTAGATCTCAAAAAGAAGGATTCTGTTAATTTATTTATGGATCCGCTCTAATTGGTATCTATGTTATTGATTAAATTAATCTCATGTATAAAGATTGAATTTAAAACAATCCCTCATATTTGTGCATATAGTTGTTTTCATATACCGTAACTTATTTATATTTATATAGTAAAAAGTATCTATCATTAATGAATTGGAAATCGCGTATACATGCGTATTCTTATCATACTGAAATGATTTCCGTTAGTAGTATTAAACCAATAGCGATTCATACAAGCTAAATCTTCTAATCGAAAATTGGGCCAAAGAAAGGATTTAAATTAATTAGGTTATTTTTATCCTTATCAAGATCTTTCTTTTTATGCAAAACTGTGGTCAAGTTTTGAATATTCTTATCAAATCTTGAATTTCTATCCCTCGCTTTTTTTTTTTTAAGTTGAAACAAATTAGAATTCGAAATTCTCTACGTCGTTTAGGGGATAGAATATTTTCAGGGACAAAGAAATCATAATTATTTTTTTTTCTATTTACAGTTTTGTTTTGATATTTTGTAATGGATTTTTCAAAAATTTTTTTATCAATATAGCTTTTTTTTTTGTATCTTTTACTTATTTTATGTTTATTTTTATGAACCAATGAAATACCTACGGTTCTATATATAATAAGTTGTCCATCGTTTTGTACAGACAAACGGACAGGTTCAATAATCAATATTCCTTTTTTCATTAATTTTGCAAAAGTGAAATTTTTCTCAATCATTAGAATGTCTAGGCTCATCTCTCCTCTTTCAATAGAAGATATCGCTATTTCGTTTGGATTGTTTAGTCTAACCAAGAGACAGTATACTTTTACATTATTGAGAATTTTTTGATTAAAAAACAATTCCATCGCAATTGAAAACGCGAATATCTTGTCAGAAATAAATAAAGTTCCGCTTCTGTATTGCTTTTGTATTGTTTTTTATTTTTACGTTTTTTTATCGTTGATTCTGCAAAATTTTCTTCAATATTTTTTTCTTGGTTTAATAGAGCTGATTCGGGATTTCTTTTTTTTTCTTTATCTGATTCAAGCTCTACTTGACCGGCCGATTCTTTTTCTTCTTTATTCAGATTATAAAATCGAAGGGATTTTTTTTCATTTGATGGTAGAAAACCTTTTTTCTTTCGAATGATCTTTTTATTAACATTTATGTTTTCATTAAAATTTAAAAGAAGTAATTTGATTGGTATGACCCACGGTTTCATTTTATATGTACTAGAAAATAAGAAAAATTCCGGAAAGAAAAAAAATTCAAAATTTGTTATACGATGATTTAGTATTTCTTCATTCATTCCCATCCAATCAAAAAAGAAACTTTTTTGATTAGCAAGATCCGTCTGAGTTATTTGATCAATTCTTTGATAATTCTGAACTTTAGTATTAATGTATTTTTTTTTACTCTTGGTATCAACCCAGGGCTCAATATTTACTTTTTTTGTAAACCAAAAGTTAAGAATTCTCCAATCCAAATATTTTCTATGCCGAATTTCCCCCATACCCCGAATATTATATTTTTCTAGAAAAGAAGAGACTAAACAATTATCTAGGGCAATGCCTATAGACATGTCAAAAATTTTTTCTGTAGAATGAATAGAGTTATAGCAAAAAAGATTATATATAGAATCTTTTTTTACATTATGTTTTGGATTTAATAACGAGTCGGCCTCAAAAAATTTTTGTTTTTTATAATTATCAAATTTCTTTTTTTCATATGATCCTCTTTGGTTAAACTTGGGTTTAGAACTAGAGAATCTTTATTTATTTTATTTTTCCAATTTTGGGGTACTAATCTAACCCATGCAATCTGGGGTAAATTGTATTGATACTGACTTCGTAACCAGTTTTTCCATTGATTTACTTCGGAATTAAAAAAGGTTTTATTTTTCAATTCATAATGAAAGATTCCTTGTTCTTGAAAAAAAACCTTTATTTGATTCTTAACAAAAAAGGATGTTATGCATATGTTATATTCAAGAACAGCCTTTAATTTAGAAACGTTACTAACTTTAATTTGTGATAATTTGTAAAATACATATGCTTGTGATAAAGAGCATAGGTCATAACTCATTTTTTTTTTATTGGATATTAATTTTTTTATAGTCGAAATAAAATAAATAGTATTTTTTGTTTTTTCTCCATTTTCTTCATTCTTGTAACTATATTTATCAAGAATTGTTTTTGTTGATTCAAAAAAAAGTTGTGTAGTAATTCTTGGAATATTAATGATACCTAGAAAAATAGCTATAGACAGTTGTTCGATGCAAAATTTTAGAAAAAAAAAGGATTTACGAATTAATCGGGTATTTTTTCTTTTGAATGTCTGCCAAATTTTTTTTGATGACTCAATTATTTTAGAATCATAACGCAGTTTGGTACAACTATTAGTTAAGTTTTGTTTTTCTTTTGAAATAGTTTCTATTTGATTTCTGATTGTCTTTTTTCTATCAATCAAATTTTTTATTTTGTTTTCGCTAAGTGAAGAATTTGTCCACTCCATGGATTTTTTTTGAACAGATAGTTCATGAATCATCTGATTACTTATTATTGAATCTTTTTTAGGTTCATTTAATTCATATATTTCTCTCGGGCCAAATAATGGAATTAGATTTCGTTTTGAAAGGTCTTTTATCTTTCCTTTTATAAAAATAAAGTTTTTGAGAATCCAGTTTTTAATTTCTTTTGCGACTTT